TTCCAGGGTGTTTCCCCGAGGTAAAAACCAAGAATGCTCCACCATGAACCACCGAGGGTGGCTGGTTTTATCGAGATAAACATGCAGTATTTCGTCTCCCGCAGCTTTTTCTTGGTTTAATCTGAATAAAAAGAAAGTATTAATGTTCTTGTATTTGCAAATGTAATGAATGTTCTGTGCAATTGTCAAAACTATCGTATCTCTTCACGCAAATTTTGAACCCAGTTTTCTAGCCGGGGCGTGTTCATGTATTTTCCTACGGGAAAATGGTTCTTTGGAGGAGGTTAGTCTTCATAAATACCTCGTGGAAGCTTCTCCCGTTGGATTGTCGGATTTGAATTCCCCTTTGAAAAAAATCCCCCATCAGAGCCATTATTCAAGTCAGATTTTTCCAACGCGCTGTGTAAAAAAAAATGCTTTCCCTACGTAGCATGCACCAGTCTTGTCAAAACGTGCCGGTACCGCCGACGGGTACGACGGGTGTACTGCTTTGGACCCCGCACGCCAAGACAGTAACACTAGTGAATGTCATGTGACTAGCTGTAGGCCACTCAAGGTAGCCTACAGAATCCGTAAGTGAGGAGTTATAATTTCGACCGGCGGACAAGGAATTGTTTTGCTTTACCTCACCTGTTTCAAATATATTCCCTGAGAGAGGTAATGTGATGAGAATTGACTGGAAACTTCGGGGTCTGGTCATTAGTCAAATTTACGCTGCTCTTTCATTTCGCCTTTGAATTGGACAAGCCTTTTCTTCCTTGGGAGAATTGTGCTTATCTGTTCGTGATCAGAAGTACATACGCGTAACTGCTCCTCAAATCTGAGGACGGCAGTGCACGTCTACAGTGTGAAATAAGTCAAGAAGATATGAATGCTGAAATTGCCGTTTCAGCATTTCTCCCCAGTGCCAAATGCAGTAATCTAATCAACAGACCGTTTCTGCCCTAATTGGTATAACTGTATTTTTTCTTCACAATTCAATTTCTCGTGATTGCCGCTACAATCACGTCCGTGCATAAGTCTACATCACATATTGTCATGTCTGACATATTCCAGGATTTTAAAAGATTTAATTAGTTTTTTGTGTGGTTATATATACCTCGTTGACGGACGATGTTGATTGAACGCTCTGGTGTCACGCATAAGAGCTATGAGATGTAGAGATTATCTTGTAAAAACCCGCCCGTGTGATCTTTAGATCCACACGCACTTTCCTAAAGTTTACCAATCCTCCAAGCGCCGCGTTTCCTCCCTTAATCCCCCGCGGCCGTGTGATCACGATGCACTTAACACGACGGTTGAAAGAACAGAAGAGGAGGGATTTACTGTGTGCTCAGTTCCTTAGCCGCGAAATTTGCGTGAATTCTACATCTAAATTGTTGTCTCTATCCCGGAATTCATGAGCCTGGTTTAAGGTTGTTTTCAATTTGTAACTCGAGACGGGAAGCGAACGAATTGAAGGCACTATTCAGTTCTGTCAAAGTCTGCAGTGTGTCAATGATTTGTGTACTGATTGTATATGTGGAGGTAGACCTTACAAGCAGTCGGCATGACATCAGGTCCAACATTTCCAGCATTTCAAAATCTTTTCTCCCTCTTGTACATCGCGCTTGACTTTTCTCAATTCGAGGGCATAATCAAAATGATCTTTTTACAATAGTTTTAGGCGCCGCTTGCGAGCGATTCCACAGGCTGGAGAAATGGTTCGACGCCATCTCTAGCAAACTTCTGGCCAAAAATCTTCACATGCAAAGAACTTGTGACCCTTGAAAATGCGTAGAAGAACTGTGAATTCCCGAGAAAGCGCTTAGAGCAAGGGCTTAATTGTTTACCCATTTCAAAATATAATTTCTTTCCGTTCACTTGCGGGTCCAGGATGGGGATGGGGCAAACGACAGTCATATGCCCAGGACAGGGTTTTTTATTCGATGAGAGAAAGAGCGAAAAACTAGTGGGGAGATTTTTCACTTCCCCTCTTTCGCGATAATCGTGTGTAAAGCCGAAAATGTCGCCTTGCCCATCATATGGAAAGGCCTGATTTGGAAATTTCGAAATATTTGCCCAAGTAAACAACTCCCCCCCCCAGTTCTGGATCCAACCTTATTCCAGTTTTAGCTAAATTACAAAATAAGGCCTTGAAGACAGGACGTTGGTAAAGGTCGATTTCAGAATGTATCTCTTCAACAATGCTTGTAGCTATTTTCACCATTCCAGTATAGATTCATGATCAATTTTCACCGTCACGATTTCGGCTTCTATCGCTGTCCTGATTTTTTTTAAATCCCCAAGCCTGTTACATTGTGCCACTATGAACCCCCCCCCTTGCAAATCTACTGCGCAATCCTGGCAAATGAAATGATTTTCCTGGTTTTACCATCTGTAACCCCGGGCACAACTGAACCTGTTTTTCTCTTCCTTGCTTCAGTGGAAGTGCATGGATTTCTCCATCTGGGGCTTGTGAATCCGTCCGTGTTAAATTAAATAGGTCAGAGAGGATCATATTCGTATGGAGAGAAAGGCACCAAAAACGCAACAAATATAAAAGCCCTCCTCTTCCCGTTTTCGTCATAAATTGTCAATTTCAAACGCAGGTGGTGGTCTGCAAACTGCAGTTTGTACCTTCCCGGCGGCGGAACGTACAGATGAATCTTATCGGCGGTCGGCAGAGTCAGTCTAACCTTACAGCTGAACTTTTATCGAGTCTTTCTTTTCTTTCCCCTGAATTATATCACCATACACTGATTTTGTTCCGAAGTAACCATGTCAATACTTCGAAGTTTCTTGTCATCAAACAGCAAACTTTTCATGTCCATCTGCGTCAGGCCCTGCAGCGTAGTTGGTTGACTTTTTGCCACGGTTCAAGAGATTGGCTTATCTGAAAAAGACTGAACATCTTTGCTCATGGTCTTTTCTGACACTAATGTGTAAATGTCAACTTCAGATATTTCTGTGTACACGCTCACAAGTTCTAGCGGAAACGCACGGCAGTAACATCTGGGTATTCAATTTTCTCCCAGTTGAAGCGCCCCCACGGTTTTTTACTGTATGGGTTCTTGACAGGCAGTAAACAAGAGAAGTGAACGTTTGAGGAAACTTCATTGGAATGTCGATCGGGATAACGACATTTTCATGAGCTATACTCTCAGCTAGTTTGACCAATATTCACGTGCACTGTACTATAGTAGGGTGGAGGGCGATTCGTGATGACGACAGAATGCGGATTAATGTAAAGACGTGGAAATGATTGATTGTATTCCGGATTAATTGCGCCGTGGTTGGCTTTAGTGACGTTTGCGTCAAGTTCTCAAAACTGGTAAACACCAGGAGAGTAACGCATCTTTTATTTTCGTGCATTACCAACCAGCGAGCGACTGGCTACATCTGTCTTTGTCGTTGCATCATATTCGATCTGTGTCATGCTGATACCACCACAGATGCGGGTGTACGTGGCCTCTTATTTAGATCATACTTTACAGCTGGAGAACGATGGTGCAGTTGTAAAGTCTTTAAGTTGCCTAAGACTATTTTCACCTCCTGTCTGATGTGAAACATCAGCTTACGTGTTTGAGATATTGTGCAAGGAAGGCAAGAATGAGCTATAAATGCAATCACACGTAATCCATGAAGCCAAACCACGTACCGTTCACAACCATGCACACATGTAAGGGGCTCCAGCGGCGTAGCGAGGGTGTTGCACTCCCAATAATTCTTTTCAGTCGGCAAATATAGGGTCAGTCGGCAAATGAAATTGAAGTTGACGTCATGAATTATTGACGTGCATCGACCAATCGGCAAACTGACCCTGGCTCCCCCCCCCTCCAAGAAAATGCCTTCACTGCGCCGCTGTTGGGCTCAACCAACCATTCACGTGTGAAGCTCCTTAGCTATAGGCTCTTTACCGGTATGTAACATTCGGACTACATTTTCCAGAAAAAAATCCTCCCCGTCCACAATTTCCACACAGGATTTGAACCCACACCCCACAGATCACAAACCATGAATGCTTTAACCGCTCGAATACCGCAGTTCACACAAGTTGCTGGTTTTTTTACTTGTTGGTATTGAGGCCTACCGATGAACGGCTCCAACGCGAGTCTAATATTACAGTGGACATGCGCAATATAGGCTACACAAGCACGGTGGATATCCAGAAAGCTGCTACATGTACTTGGGAAATCGGAGGGAAGCCGCAATCAAACCGCTCTACTTCAGTTGCTGAACGGTCAGTGATTGATGCGCGGACGGCACAGTCATTGCCGGTATATACACGTAGATCAGCATCGATGAGATATATCTCGTAACACACTCGAGCCCGTGCCCTAGTTCAAATGTGTGGTATGTGTAGCTATATGCAGTCGAGGATGTAGTACATCAGGCGAGTGTTTCAATCAGCTCGATTGACGCCACTGATTATCCCAAGAAACACACTTTCTGAAAACTAAACTGCGACAGATACATTATGTACATACAATCGCCTCTAAGCGGAAGCCAGTCGCCGCTAAAATCATTAACCAGAGGCACGAACTTCGCAATACTCTGGAATTTCTTATGACTACAGAAGATCGGATCGCAATTTGCACAGTAATATAGCCATTTTTCACTCGCCTGCCTCTCTGTTATACAGCTTTATTTTATGTTTTTGTACGAATATTGTAGGTAATTTTTAGTATTAAACTTTGAATTCCCGAGTGCTTTTGCACCGGAGAATTCAGTGCCCAAAACACATAATGTTTCTTAAAGCTCTGCACATCGTCTGTAAAACTGTATTAACTTTTACATGTTTTAGGCTTTTTCCTTGTTTTTTTTAAATATAGCGATATTTGAAAAACTGTTACTTGTTAATTTCAAAGTGTGTCACCTCCATCCATAACTCTTAATGTCAATATTATTCCTTGAAACCATGGACAAGAAGGAATAACGGTCTCATCGCTATTACGGTAATGCACGAGTTCCATCTCTGAGACCGTGACCAGCAAAATGGTATTTCAAATACATTGATATCCACTGCACTCACCAATACCATTGGTTATCTTTAATGCATCATTTTGATCAGTACACACGTTTCGGTTTTTAACAGAAGGATATAGCCTAGAACATTATACACACCCTAGAAGAATTCATTTCAAATTCGTGCCAAGTACTGTGCATGCAGATCATAAATGCCACATTACATAAATCTGACCTCTACCGAACCAAAGAATTATCAGAATGAGAGACGTCGGAGATTCTTGGTGACTACAGACATACCTGCTCTTTTCTACTGTTTGTGTCCCATTTGAGCTAGTGTGCGCATGCTCAAAATGACACAAACAAGGAGCCAGTCACGAGGGACCTGTGCTTGTAGCCAACAAGAATCTCAAAAACAGTCTCCCACTAGTTGTCTACAGACTTAACAATTTGTAGACTTATTACACACACCAGTAATGAATTATTTAAAGAGGCACAAAGATTTTTGGCTACCCTAAAAATCACTAATTCAAAATTTTAAAAAGTTAATAATGATTGAAAATGTGTACATATTGTTCGGCATACATACATCGGAGTCCATGCTTAAGATTTGCTCCCACACTTTTTTTATGGAAACGATTTCAATGAAACTTTACCTACAATAATTTGGAATCTGTATTTCTGGCACGACCAAAACGATACGCTGTAGGCCTAAGCCATATCTACCATTGCGGTCAATAATCTCCCTGTATATCCCCTTATCTTTGATAAAATAAATGCTACAGTTCTCGGATTTGCTGATGTTGTTCCTAAAAATACAGTGCAAGTACAGCATTGATAACACGCTTGAAAACTTTTGGCTTGTCACAACCTAAACGAAATAAGTAATTCCACATAGTCTTAAAACCATAACGTTCCTATTCTAATAGAACGATAGCTTGATGCCAACTGGTTTATATTTACAATCATTCGGATAATACATCATTTATTATTAAGAGTGCGTACATTATATTGCGTAGCACAGACATGTATAGTACGTTATATAACACGAACTTTCATTTTCAAAGCATGAATAGACCCTCTAGCATTGCCATATGTGCGGCCAAAAATTTGAGAAATATTACAATTTATGGTTGCGCTCAGTGTTTGCCTCAAAACGCACATTTTGTATTGGCATTTTATAGTGTAGTATTTTGATGATAGCTTGTGATTGGTTCACACATGGATTTTTCCTTTGCTTTGTATTGGCTTCCAGTCATGGTTAATAATCAGTAAACGAACACCAAAATACGACTTTGACGTAGAAAGAGAGAGGCCTATACCCCAAATATAGCTTTAACAGCTTTGCGTTTCGCCAAAAGTTAAACACTCCTTATCCTAAGTATATACGAAAGGCACACCAGAACATCATTGCGATTAGCTCATTACATCTAAGACCTACTAATTGTACTATATTCTACTTATCTTAACATGTACAAAACAAAAAGCTAGCTACTCAAAGGAGAATTAAAATAGATGATTGATAATGATACAGAAATGAAGTAGGATAAAGACAGAATTTTCATTATAAGGGTCGGCTATGATGGGAAGGTTTCTCCTTAGTGCAAACATTGGACTAAGGTCTAGTTTTGTCACCTTTCATCATGATTTAGGTAACCTATGGGCCCAGAGTGGGACCAAAAAGGGCGCAATTTTTCCTTGCAATGGCGGCTCCTTTGGTGGGAAATGCACTTGGCTAGTTCATGATCGACTGTATGATATGCATGCGTAGCGGTAGTGTCGCCACCAACAAAATGAACACTCCCAACCAACATGCCTCTTTTCAACCGATGAGGGGGTGCTTCTGCTTGAGGCGGATTGTGACCTTTGGGTATGGGCGCTGACAAACACGCGCATGATTGAGCATGAGCGAAGCCTTGGATTCCTTCAGAGAGTCAGCCATACTGTCTCGCTCACTGGATCAACCGACCATCGACCTTCACCATTTCCAAAATGTTTCTCTAGCAAAATGCCAGTAGTGCAATGAAAACAGACAGATAAATTACTCTTAATTGTCGCACGGGGACACCCTGCCAGATTAATTCAGTTGATGCTGGCGCCCAGCACTATATTTGATTACTGCTGGCTACATTATTATTGAAAGATTTAACACCAAAGGCTATTCAGTTGCAAATGTGAAAGTGTGGGTGGGTGTCTTGCTTCGGACATTTCTTGCTGTGATTGGCGGAAAGTTCGCATCGCGCGCTGAGTAAAAAAAGGAACCGTAAAGGTGGAGGAATATTTCTAGAAGTGATTGGCCGAAAGTTAGTTCGCATCGCACGCGTTCGGCGGAAGGTGACAACTAAAGTGCTCTAAATATTTACGACATTTATGACAGATTCACCTGCATCTCGCTCTCTTTTCACGCCACCGTTGTTTCTGCATTCCTCTGCCCTCTCTTCCACTGTCAGTAACACACTGTCTTGATATCCCCTCCCGAATGGTACTTTCCTTTTTGATTCTGTCCCCAAGACGTAAAAGACATTCATAGATTCTCCCTCCCTTCGACTGACTTATCACAAATCACTCCATTCGACTACCCACCGCTACTTATAAATCCACTTTCGGCCAAGCTCTTGGAATCCAGTCCTTGTTCGGATGGTATTTCAACTTCATTAAAGAAAGGTGAAGGACAGGAAATGACACTCCCTCAAGTGAATCACTTTCATCCCGTCTCCCGCCCCTATCTCACCGTGTCTCCTCACCCCATGTATCATTCACCTCCAACCAACATTTCCTTTTGTACCTGTTCACCAACTGCTCCTATAGTATCCATTAAACCCACAAGCACAATAATTCACATCATCAGCTACGCGAAAACACAGTCGAAATCACATCCCTTGCCATCTCTGGGAATGTAAAATAATATACTCTCTTCAAACTCGTCTAGAAAATAATTGTTTTCGACAGCTGACATCGAGTATAGGAATCTATCGAAAGTATGTACACAACTAAAATGCACTGTTCCACTGTGAATAATTTTACCGTGTTCAAGTTTAGGAAACTCACATTCAGGTTGTGGTATCGTTCATTATAGATAAACGAATTACGTGTACTAAAATGCTCAACGCAGTAACCGGGTACTATTGGGCACACTTGCATTAAAATGAAATAAACTGAGCTTTCAAGCAGCGAACCTACTCAGTCGTTAAAGATCGCTGTTAAACGAAATCGGAAATCGTTTTCCCATCGACTTGGCAAAGCCAAGAAATGATCCATTGGCCAGGATTGGGATCCAGTAACATTTCCATGACGGCAAAACAGAATGGAGCTTGTTTTTTCTGCTCTTTGTATTTTGTATTTGCATTTCATTTCCCACACCCACACTTTTACTTATCAAAATAAATGCACTCGACCACGCTTGATCAGAGTAGTCGTATTCGAACTTGGAAAAATTGGGAAAAAAATGAAAGTCGGGGGAAAAACGAGAGAAACGAAAAAAAAAAGTTCAAATGGAGTTGAAGTCCAAAACAGTGCACGAACGTACCTTGTAATTAAACCTTCCCACTGTTAATGGTATATCAGTTTGCTAGTTATTATAGGTTTTTGCAGATCTCCCCCCCCCGAAAAAGCGTTCTTATGCCGGCGTCAAAGAGAGGGATCTGGCCAAGTAGATGGGCATCAATGACTGAAGTTCCTCGTGGCCGACTAATAACAGCCAGAAATGCTTGGAGGGAAACAGTTGGCTGGCCGGTGTATTCATTTTGGAATAATAATGCTGAGTAAATGATTTTTTTTCAAGTCACAGTTGATTTTTGACACTATTCCTCGACAACAACCAGGCAAATATGTAGGACTTTGGTCCCAGAAGCTGTTCTTATTTTTGACTTGCCTTATCCAAGGCTTTTTGGCCAATCCGTCGGCTCAATGTCGAAAAACGTCTCGTTCATTTCCTGTTCAAACTTCCGGTTTGTTAACGTGATACCTGCCTGTAACATCGGCGGAAAGTTTTTCTGTTTCTAAATGTCAATCTGGATCTGGGAACTCTGTGTCGTTTTTTTATTCCGGTTGTTTGGACCTTACAGAGAGGCTGAACCGAGTCGTTTTGGCTCGACTTCCCCGGATAGAATTTCCCGATGCCACCCCCATCCTGTGGGCCGGCAATCGACAGCAGAGAGCCATCCTATATTTTGAACTCATCATGTACATGACGAAGGGGTTGCAGCAAGAGTTGGCTATGGCGGCATAGTAGTGGAGTTTTCCAAGAACCCTCAGGGGTTGGTTGCCGACTGCTGAGTCTTTTCCTACGAATTGCCAGAAACGGAACGCGTAATACGGCATCCAGAAGACGGCGAAGAACACCGTAATCAGGATGAACATGGCCGCCCGGTTACGGCGAATCCTAAATTGTTTGAGCAGCGAGCGATTGACCTGTTCCCCGGAAAACTTCCTCGTGCTCTGGAGGAGCTTGATAATGACCAGGATGTTGGTGTAGGCGATGAGGCCCAAAGGGACGACGTATAGGAAGCTGAACCAGAAAACACCGTAGACCCGTGCAGCGGTCGTTTCGTAGTAAAACTGGCAATAGGCGTGGCTTCTGGTAGGCGTGTCGACAAGGGTCACCAGGAAGATGATCGGTGCAGCGACAGTGATAGCTAACAGCCACTCGGTGATTATCAGTACTTTGGTGAAGTTCCGTTCGCCTTTCTTCATGACGATTCCCAAGAACCTACCGACGCTGAAGGCCGTGATAGAGTAGACACACACGCCAATGGCCAAGGTCTCCCCAAAGCGATATGCCTTACAGGCGGCAGTTCCAAACTGCCAGAAAGGATAGATCTCGTGCTCGATCTTGATGGGAACCGTCGAGAGGAGGAACAGAAAGTCCCCGATGGCCAGCTGGATGATCAAGGCGTTAATCTGAGACCTGCGTAGCTCCCGATTTAGGAGGATGACCACGATGATGCTGGCATTACCCAGCAACCCCAAGACAGCCGCTAAGATGAAAATGTCGATCGCCACCCAGTCAACGCTGTCATCGCCCATGAAGAAGTGGGACAGGTTCCCGTAATAACTATACGAAGAATAATACTCTTCCGCTGTCATCTTGCCTCTTGCATGAAGGGGGGGGGGCAGCTGATGAGACGAACACTCTGTTTCAATGCGTCTGCTTCTTGCTACGTTTCCTAGATGGAGAAACAGGAAGGGATATTAGTCAGTAAAATTGTATTGGTATCTTCATGGTAGAGAAGACTCGAGTGGCATGTCTTGAAATTGTTCTGTGAAAATTGAACCGTATATCATTCGACCATCAGTGTTGATAGGTTCAAGGAAGTGGAGTTGTCGCATTTCGTCTTAGAAAGCTAGTTTACAAAGTTTCTGCTTCGTAAAATAACTGAACTGTAAGGTATACGAGCCGTCTTATGATGGGTGAGCTTTACACATTTTTGACGGTATTCCTGTCGATGAGTCTCGCCACATGCATGAATTTCATATCACTTACATTTTGATCGTAGAATACAGGTCATCCCTATTTTCTGAGAAAGGACTCATTAATGGACTGTGAGTGCTTCCGAAAACTTCAAGTAAACATTATTTCGGGACGGGTGATTAATAGTTTGTTTCGCAGGATCGCGTATATTGCAAACCTTCCAGACAAATTTTGAAGTCAACATTGTTTTGTAGCACTTATCACTAAATAACTCTCTTGGGCTATCCACTGCGCCTGTTCAATTGATATGTTAGGCACATACACGGTTGGCTATTACCAGGTGCATCGTGATCTGGTAATATCGGGTGATTATTAATAAATTTTCTTTTAAAGTCAGGACCTAAACATTATAACAATAGAGGTTTGTCAGTCCCGTGATTTTTGACGGTCAGCTTTCAATCCGGTTCGTAAGTGTGACGTCACTTCAGTTTAAACCACGCCTACAGCACATAGAGATACACATGAAACCGGAAGTTAAAGTGCAACTTTAGTGTTCGTCCAATGGAAGCCTGCAATCAGTGACACGTCCGCGTGTATGACGAAGTCACTTACGAACTGGACAGATTTGCGCGGAAATGTGCACGCCTTTGAAGTCTCTCGGCATTCTTGAGTACCGTGATGAAATTACCAACTGAAAGACGCAGATTCGAAATGCAAGCGTCGCTGCAGACTTGGAACGCTTCTTGAGCTGCCTTTGCCAGTCGGGTGACGTCACGTGAAAAACCTCTATAACTGAGTCTGACAACATGATAAAGACGCCTTTCCATAATTATGCATGTCAACATTATTTTGCGCCAAGCGTTGCGTAGGCCTATCCGTCCAAATCGCTGTGCCTGAATATCCTTCTGCTGGGCATGCGCTGTTGGAATACTGAACTGGCTCACTGATTCACCAATTGCACTGTTACTTAAGTCACTCAATTAGTTACTGTGTCTGGAAGATAATACAAAAAGTGAAATGAGTGCTGAAGTGTCAGAGCAGGATTTGGGAAATCGATCCTAAAGTTTAGTGAAATAATTGGAGACTGATGAAATCAGGATTACAAGATATTAGTACAATCTCTCTGACAAATTAAGTTAAACGGGAAAATTTAGATCACACTTTAAATCAGCACGATTTAAATAAAGTTCAATTGCCACTTACACCAAAATAAAAAAAGTCTCCGGTTTCTGGTCAGCGCGCGCGTCGGCCCTAGACCTGCGCGTCGGCAAAATAAAAAAGTTTTTCATTTGGTATATATAAAACGTTAATGTCCAAAAGCTACCAAAGTTGGTTGATCAACTGGAATTTTGCTAGTGTGCTACTTCGTAATTTTAACACGTTTTTGATGGAGTACGCTTGAGTCTTATGTAGAGTAAAGGAGTCCCTGTGGTTCCCCATAGGTCTACATTAGTTGGACACTCTTTGTCAGATGATGTCATTTCTGTATTACACGTTTACACCTGGGAACCAGACAAACGAGGTGGTCTCAAGTCCTGTGTATGTGTACAAGCTTAAAATGCTTTTAAATAGTTAGAATGTGCTAGGCTCAGTCTATTTTAGTGTTGGTAACGGCCAGCGTAACGTGTGTATGCAGTCACGATGGAGATCGCCCGTTATACGTACATGTAAATCATTTCCAGAAAAATAAAGTGAGGCTAAAATAAGCCGCGTCGCTGCACCACTTTTTGATCCTGACCAGAAACCGGAAACTTATTTTTTAGGATAAGGGGGATATAAAGATCCATCACAATAGTGTATCCAGGGGAGGGGGCAATGCACTTTCGGGCTCATTCAACACAATAATGGGGGAAAAATCTAGCCTATTTATTTGATAACGTACCGATTAGCAGTCTGGAGTATTACCATATTTGGATGGCCTATTACGTCACAAATCTCGTGCAATCTGACCAATCACATGGCTTGTTCTAGCAGTCTGCAACGGATTGTATGGTTGTTTCCATGTTACGGGGTATTTTTCTTAATGTTGCAGTATATGGAGCAAAAATACTAACGAAAAATTTCAGTTGCAACAGTTTGATTGGCTATGCCAAAAAAAACCCTGACATACACAAGAAGTTCTAAAACACATTTAAAATTCGTCGTTGCCAACTTGAGATATTTAAAATTGATGCTGGACAAAAATTGCTGTACCAGTAGGGAAAGGTTACTATTCCCATATGTGGTGATACTGTAGACTGGTTATTTTCTTGCCTACTCACCTATGAAGTATCTCAATTGTAAAAAATAAATAAATCAAAATTTGATACAAAATTTAACAAGTCTGTCAGGGGGCAAGTTGCCCCACGCCCCCGCTGGATACGCCACTGATCCGTCAAAGTTTCTTAGATCAAGAGCCGCAAGAGCATGACGGTGTCAGTATAAGCTTACGCTTTTATTAAAAAAAACAGCAAGACGCGCGGTCATGTTGTACGAGGGGCTGCAGGGGTTGTGTAAACACTGCAATGGCAGTCAAACGTCGAACAGACGTACTATGTTTGTCTATAGGGATAATTACCTACGATTGTGCCTATGGTAACGACGCGTCACCAAGCTCTCCAAACGTTTTATAGTGAAAGTGTCTCCACTCTGTACAAGTTGGTACTCACAAAATTACATGGAATGTCACACGCCACAGGTGGTGGAGACACCATTTCCACCTTTACAGCTGAATCGTGGTCGCACCGTCGCACACACGGGAGCAGACATGATTATAAACAGGGAAAATGCTCAAGTGGCATACGAATATTTCCAGCCACTAAACGGAGAAACTCGGCGATATCCCGTGCGCATGTGTGCAATGCACCTCGTGTACACATCACCAAGGATATCACAAATAATATTAATACACCTTCGACGGAATAAAATGGGGATTTCAACCTAAACGGTCCAGTAAACACAAAATGGTATTCGAAACAACCTCTCATTACAATAATTATACCTCTCTTTCAATTGTAAAGAAAAAGACAAAGAGAGCCAAATAAATGGGACTATTTTTCTTATATAGGGTAGGAATCTTTACGTTGTTAGCTGCATGCGCATGTAAAATGAAGGTCAGAATGTAATGTAGGTCATTCTAAATATAGCTCAGTGCCGAGGAATGAGAAAATAGCTCCATATACTAAGTTGTTGATTTCATTCTGCAACAAACTCACAACAATTTACAGCACATTGTGCTTTGCAAATACGGTGTAGACAACCCGCAAATTTTGCTCCCTCGATATTCGTCATCAGAAACCAGAAATCTCTTTATTTGAGATCTCTCTCTTCGTATTTTGTTGCGAAAGAGAACCAAATAAAATGTAACGCTATATTGAGCTTCGTGCAAGCAGCCGAAATTTTCAGGTTTACGGCTGAAGCGACTTCAACCCTATATATCTAGCTTCAAGAGAAGCTTAATATATAGCGAATCCCCAGAGGAGGTTGATGAATTTTCCCCGGCTGACTTGTGGTGAAATAAGGTCTCGACGATTCACTCCAATTGCTTGGTCGCAACTCGCAGTCCATCAGCCTAGATGAGGACACCGGCACTGCTCTGATTGTACTCCTTCAGTTGACCCGGATCTATTGCAGTGAATCTACCAGTGAATCACGGCGACTATACGACAGATGGGATGGTAATGATATATGGGACGGGTCCGTCCCCAACAGTAACAACATGCTGTCCTCGTTCAATTTACTGTGACGACATGAGCATTAGTTACAGGACCAACGGGCAAGAATAAATCTGAGTGCCCCCATGAAAAATGTGGCTGTATACTATGGCAAGAAGCAGTGGTTATTGGTCAATGATGATTAAAAACAATGACAGGGCATCCAGCGCCATATAGGCCTATGCTGAGTCTATAGTCTAGCCTTTGCCTCCTAGGTAATTTAGCGTTCCAATCGTATACTGCTTTTGCTTCCAGTTTTTAAAGGTTTACTATTGACAGAAAACAGTTTTTTGCAAACTTCTCCCCGTCAAAATCTTCCCTTATACACAACTGTCAAAGAAGCAGCACTGTGAGGACGTTATCGGCTGTTGGCAAGGATGATTTGACATCGGGACAAACTTTGGACCAGTCAAAGTCAATTTGTCGAAAAACATGACCCAGGAAAGACGTGTGCCGTTTGCGATGAATCAGTGTGACAACAGCAGCATTTTGGATAAGAAAAGCTGAGGTGTCACAAGCTTGAATCAATGGACTGAAAATTGATGGGCTGCAACATTTTATCAATCATAACGGGAACGCCCGAGGCTTGTATCGTTCAGTTGGTATGTAGAGCACCTTTCAATACATGGGCTGTACTCGTTTCATTCGGACTCTGCAGTGCATGGCTCAAAACAAGTTATTTTGAAGGAATCCGTTGGTCTGTGAAAAGTTTCATTTCATTTTGTCGGAAGCTGATTGGTTTGGATGATAAAACGTTATTTACTACTCTATAATCACTTCGGTGATTTTTTTCCGCTTCATGGCAGCTGGCGAGCTACCAAACTTTTCCTACAAATAGTTTCGCGCAAAATGTCTGACCTCAAACTTAAACGCGAAACGTTGTTTTCCTTCACTGAATCGCAGTGACAAGTATGGACACCTGTTAATGTTAACAAAGACTCACACTCAAATCATGGTTCTGTTATAAATACATATGCCTCATTTCTTCCACACTCATATCCTCTATGTGCCGAAACATTTACGGCACAGGCACCTCTGCCTCGATTCCTCGAGCCTGATTATT